GCCGCTTCCTGTTTTCCAGTTATGTTTGAAAAATGTAGTTTGCATTAATATCACAGCGCAATCACTCTCCCCTCATCGGCCAGCACACCGAGGGCTCCTCGTTCAAAAATCTGTCATTTTCGGGATCCGGCTGCTCGCTGGGCCGGCAATCGCACCACTGGATTCCTCCGGGCGCTTTCAGTTTTACATGAATTATTGATGTGATTGAAAATTCGTCTCCGCTACTTCTGCACGGTGCTGCTGCTGCTGGCCGGGGCGGGGAAGCTGATGAGCAACAGGGCCTACTCAACAATCAGTTCAGTTGAATCTGCTGCTGAAGCTCGAGCAAACTGAATGGTCCCGGATTTCTTGCCGAAAATTGAACAAAGAAGTGAACAGTAAAAAGACAAATAAATCATGGACAGTAATGAAAATTGCGGGTACTGCATTATAGCATGTTGTCGTTGCGTGAATTGCTTCTTCAATAGGAAACAGTTGGAGAGCATCGATGGTAGGCCGGCCTGAGCCGTGGCTCCCTTACTGGGCGCATCCCGAATCGCTGTGAACAAATTGCTCATCAAACTTCTGTTTGTTTGTTAGAAATTCCATTGAACAGATGAATGCATTTTTTCCATTCCACATTCAGTGCTCCGAATGGAGCTTACTTCGCCATCTTGCGACTCCTCCAAAACTCGCTCCCTTCCATACTTCCCAGCGTCCTTATCCAATTTCCGAGAGAACTCTGCAGTGTTATTTGCTTCCGTGTAATACGAAGATACATATTGGTACGGAGTATTTTCATCATACGGAAAAACAGGAGTTAATGAGGACGAAGGGAGTGACGGTACGATTCCATTTTTCGTTCATTCTCTCCCTCTTTTTTTAGATTTTTCCTTCCTTACACCAGGCGGGCAGCTGCATCCAGGTAGCGGTCAGCAAAAAATGTGCATCAAGGCGCATGTTAATCAAGAGCAATTGCATTCAGGCAACGGTCAGCAGAATGGGAAATTCGCTATTTGCTTTTCCTTGCAAACCAAGTGCGCAACTCCCCTAGAAACACATTAGTTCTGTTGTCCACGACCTCATGTTTTTGGTTCCCATCGTGTATTCCTTCGTTTCCTCCACATTAATTCTTCGGATAACGCCATCACTGTCTGTTCTCATCGCACCATTTTTTATTTTGCAACATTGCAACTTATTTCTGCTATTGCAGAATTCGTTTCAGTATCATTTATTTGTAA